GTGTGTGTGTGGGGGGGGAAAGGCCTGGGAACCAGCATTTCCAGTGGTCTCTGGGAGAGTCCTAAGTACATGAGAGCTTAGGAGCGAGAGAAAGTGGGGTTATAAGAATGCTTGGGTGTCCCCCCAAGTGCTGGAGGTGCAGGAGCTGCTCTTGGTTCTGGCCAACTTTTCAACCTTTTGGGGGGCTCCTGGAAAGCTCTGTGGGTCCTCCCTCTGGGGGAGCATTCACTTTAATGAAATTCTGCTTTCTGTCCACAGCACTGCTACGTTCCCAGGGCAATTTCATCTTGGGGGAAAGACGACGTTCACAGGCTGCGACGGCAGCTCACACCTTTCTACAGGTAAAGGGTCGTTTAAACCAGATTGGGTTCCACATGGAGTGCCTCCTCGAGACCGTTCTGTGGTCAGTGCAAGACCTCCTGAGAATCACCCATGCTCTGTGCGCTTCTTGAATTAATTGCTCTCTCTGAACCTATGTCCTACCCCGCAAAGGAGGGCCACAGGGCCCATCTCCCAGGGCTGGTGCGAGGATGTGGTGGATGGAGGCTGTCCAGGTCTTAGGTGAGTCCCCTTGGCCACATTCCTCAAGGTCAAGAAAGGGTCCACTGAGTGCACGGAGCTCAGCGGCTCAAATCCCTCATGGGCCCCTCCCTTCTATCTCTCCGACTGTTTGTCCTTTGCCACGAGCCCACCCCCTTCCTCTGAGGCTGCCACACCTGTGAATACCCTCATTTTACAGACGAGAAAACTGGAGCTGTTCTCAGAAACATAAGTCAGATTCAAGCTACCTCTACGGGACTCCAAGCCTGACCTGGTTACCTCTGCGTCTTCCATTCTCCCCGGGGCACTGGTTCCTGCCCGCAGGGCCAGTGGGGAACTGGGTCTCCAGCCTCTATTTTTGACAGATCAGCTTCAGGAAAGTGTGGGGGAGTTGGACAGTAGCTGTCAATTGCCATTTTGGGGGGGAGGGGGCATCTTTATTTCTAAATAAAGAGCAAGAGACCTGGGGTCCTGTCAGCCCCGAGCTGCCACCGGGCCTCTGGACCAAGAGCTCTTCGGGGATGGAGTCAGGCACCAGCTCCGACCCAGGTGTGGGCCCCAGGAGACAGGCTGCCCAGCTCACCACCTACCACCTGTGCCCCCAGAGGCCGATGATCTCCCCTCTGTGTTGTGAACCAGGGTGACCCCCGCACCCGCCTCCCAAGGCTGTGGATAAGCTCGTTCGTTGTGCCGGCTACACCGTAAGGGCTGTGCAAAGGTTTTGTGTCCCAGGACAGCGACAGACAGCAAGCTTGGAACCTTCCCTTCCATAGAGGGAGGTGGGAAGAGAATGCCTCCCAGGGCTCTGGGCTTTGGGGCTGGCTCGCCCTCTCACCTGCCACTGATGACAAGCTACTCACCTGGATGGGGTCTGCTTCCTCGCCTGTCACACACAGTAGCCAGGCACACCTCTGCCACCAAGAGAATCACACCCCCTACACAAACATGTCGCTAACTTGCCGTCAAGTTGATGGATTCGAACTCATAGCGACTCTCTAGCTCAGAGTAGACCTGCCCCACGGGGCTTTCCAGGGGTAAACATTTGCAGAAGGCTGCATCTTTTGCTCTCGCAGTGAGCAGCAGGTAGGCTCACACTGTTGAGCTTTCAGTTAGCAGCTGAGCAGTTACCCAAGGTTCTTTCCTAATCGCCAAACCCCGGGAACACCTCCGACGGCAGACAGGACTTGGCGGGTACGATGAAGATGAAGGCATTATGTGGAATCAATGAGTGGGACCGTTGTCATCACAGGGTCTTTCTGGGAGGGAGGCAGGGGGGCGAGGAGCAGAGAAGGAGACGAGAGGATGGAAGTAGCAGCTGGAGGGACGCAGGCCCCCCCTCTCCCCAGGTTTGGGAAGGAACCCAGCCTTGCCACCACCTGTCAGTCTAGTGAGGCCGGACTTCAGACTCCCCCCACCGCCCCCTCCCCCCCACACCTTGCATTGTGCTCAGCGGCTGCCTTGTAGTCATTTGTCACGGTGGTCACAGAGAAACACATGCTCCCTCCAAGACAACCTCACAGAAGACAAGCATCGCCTTTCTGGGCGTCTGGGCTTTGCTTTTTTACCCTGGTCCACGGTTCTTGACCTGAGTCATTCCCTAGCTCTGTTCTCGAGCCCAGGACACCTGGGCTGTCTCCTGGCCTTTCCCCTTGTCCTGCTGTCTGTCACTGCCAGCGGCCCTGTCATCTGTCAGGGTTGGGGCTTCTGGCTAGGCTGACTCAGAAGAGAGAATCCAGCCATTAGCCTGGCCCAGGCCCTGGCATGCTGGGTGTCTGAGAGCTGCTAAGCCCGAGTGGGGCATCATCCTGGCTTGGCCACCTGCTGCCCTTGCCACGGTCCAAGCATGCTGGCCCTCAGCCCTGCTTCCTCCAGGATGGAGCCTGGCGATGGCGGTTTACTAGGACTTGGGTCTTCCCTCTTCCGTCTCTTCCCCCCAAATGAGTACAAGAACCAGAGTCTCCTCCCTGTGAGCAACACTGAGCGCTCCTTGGTCCCCCAGCTCTGCTGCTGGCAGCACCACACAGCGCAAGCTGGCCTTCCACCCGGAGGTGTGGGTGGGAGCCGGAGCCTGCTTGGCGCGTACCTCTTGGCAGCCCTCCTGGTGGTGGTGGAGCAGGTGAGGGGGAGCCGCAGGGACCTCCTGAGGCAGGGAGTCTGCAATGCTATGGTCTCTGGGGTCTGCCTGGCTGGCAGGGACGGGGACTGTGAGGCCAAAGTCACCATACAGTGTGTGTGTGTGTGTGTGTGTGTGAGAGAGAGAGAGAGAGAGAGAGAATCTCAGGCACAATTCAGACTCCCTTCTGCAGCACATTCGCTTGATGCTTGCTCCTGTTCATCAAACAGCCTGCTCTGTTGTGATAAAAACGGCCGGCAGCCAGAGGACCAGCAGTGCCCACTCCCGCCTCTCCCTCTCCACTCAGTCCCAGCACCCTGTCCCAACCTGGGGCTCCGCTTCTGCACTTAGTGAGTCAACCAAGAGTGGACCTCACACCCGGAAATGTTGAGTCTCCGGTACCTACTTGGAAAGGGGAGGTGGCAGAAGGACAGGCCATCCAAGACAGACTTTAGGGGCCCAGTAGGGGCACTCCTGAGTTCCGGCTGATTCCCCCCAGCTTACCCTCCAGGACACATCACCCCTCTGCTCTCCCATCCTCAGGGTGTCCCCCTTACCACATTCCAGAGCCCAGAGAATCCCAAGGTGCAGCCCAACCTGAGCCTCACTCCCAAGTCTAACCCAATCCAGACTCAGGGGCGCCTCAGCCTCAGTCCTCAATCTCAGGGGAGGAACCAGGCTGCGGAGTTTCCAGTGCACTCAGGGGTCCCTGTGGGGTAGAGCATGGTGTCCCGTGACAGCTTTCTGCTGGAATGGGCTGGTCTAGGAGGAGGAGGAAAGCCACCCCCAGGGGCCATTGCTGGCCTGCCTTCCCAACATACCTCCTCTCCCTCCCCACTTGTGGGTGCCCCTACAGTGCTCCAAAAGCCAAAGCAGGCATTGGCCTGAGCAGTCTGCCCCAGAAAGCTGGCCGTGGCGTAGGGAGGTGCCCCACCCACACTCCAGCATAGCGCCTGCACCTCTCTGAGTGCCAAACTCTCTTGGAAACATACTGCCAGTGTGTGTGTGTGTGTATGGGTGTGTGTAGGGGTTGAGGGGTACATATACAACATTCAGACCCTCAAAGGCAGTGCCCATCCCTAGGAATCAGAGCAGCTCTTGGCCCTCCCTGTGCCCACCCCACCCTGCACTTAACTGAGGTGTCAGGGAAGGGGCTGTCCAGGCTCTGCCTCCCTCTTCTTGTCCATCTGGGCAACCTTGGCGCCTTACCGGGGCCTGGCTCTCTCTCTCTGCTTACATATAGCAAGGGCTTCAGAAAATGCCCGCTGTGTGCGCAGCTGTCAGTAGCCCCATGGGCGGCAGTCCATGGGCATCATTAAGGTCAAACCAGTGGTCCTCAGCCTTTGCTCCTCCCATCACCACCTCCCCAGGTGCCTCCAGAGACACCCCTCATCCCCAACCCACTCTGGTCTCCATCGCATGCATGGCATAGAGGAACCAAACAATGGCCCCTGCAGCACGTCCAGTGAGCTCTGTCTATGAGCACCCTGCAGCGGGCTGCGCTGGTCTCCCACCCGGCATACCTCCTCAAGGGAGGGGCTGACACTCAACCCGGCCTTCCCACTAGAGGCCCGACAGCTGTCCACCCTCCCCTACCCCACCTCGTGGCCTTGGTCACTGGCCTGCCCCAGCTGTGTCTGCTGAAGGAAGGAGTGGAAAGGAGAAGAACAGACACCAAGCACTTGGCAGATGAGTTGGGGCCCAGTCCAGGAATGGAGAATGAGCTCTTTTTTCCTTCCCCACCCCAAGACTCCAATTCACCCAGGTGAGTCCCTTTGTAAGGAGCCCCTGGGAGGGGGCAGGCGAGGGGGCCACCACCTCCCCTGCCACAGACAGAAGCCTCCAGAGAGCAGAGATGTCCCTGCAGCTTGGCACCCAGCACACAGTAGGTGCTCAATAAAGGCAGAATGAGTTGCTGGCAGAACATTCCAGTCTGATGTGATGAGAGAGTGTATTAGGGAGTGACATACGTGCCCCCCAAAGTCCCCTCCTTCCCCACCTTTGGACAATCTCCCCTCCCCTCCATGCCACCACCCCCCCCACTCTGCCCTGCGCCTGAAGTCAGGATGTGCGCTCCTTCCGGGGGGGGGTGGTGGGGGGCCATCCTGGCCACCGTGGCTCCGAATGCCCACACTCGACACCCCAGGGTCCACTCCCGATGAGCCGAAGCCGGCCCCACGCCCATGGCCGTGACCAGCGCGCTCCACGCTACCGCCCGCGGCTGCTCCGCGGCCTCCCTACTCCGCTGGGTTCGGGATCTCCGCAGGGGCCCTGGGGCCACGGTCCCCCGCGGTCTGCGGCAGGGGGCCTGGCCGCGACTAGGTGGCTCAGCGCGCGAAGTTCCCACCTCAAGTTCTCGGCGCGGCGTCTCCGTTCAGAGTTGGCCGGGCCGCGGCGTCCGTGCTCCCCGCGTGGCCAAGGGACCCGCGCGAGGACGCAAGAGCCAGCTGGACGCCCCGGCCGCCCGCGCCGCGGCCAAACTTCGGTTCCGGTCCGGCTCGGCTCGGCAGTCCGGCCCACCTCTGCCTCCCGGTCCCCGCCGGGCTCCAGTGCGCCGCGCGGCTGGGCTGCCGCCGCCGAGGGAGGGACGCGGGCAGGAGGCGGGACGGAGGGAGGGACTGCGCGCAGGGCGGGGAGAGCGCAGCTCCTGCCTCGGGCAGGACCGAGTCAGGGCGACGCTGACCCAGCGTCGGGGCGCTGGGGAGGGGGGCCTGCACCCAGACCCTGTCCCTGCCGGCCACCGGGCAGCGTTGCCCACCCGATCTGCATACCAATCTCCAGGGGCCCACGCGCCTAGTGTGCACCTGTGCCTGGCCGAGCGCCACTGTCCCAGGGTCTGTGTGTGCAGGCTATCCCGGGGCAGCATGGCCATGGCACGTGTCTTGGCCTCAAGCTCCACGTGCATAGCTGTCTGTGGCCCTTTAAACCACTGTGCCCCCCCCCCCATAGTTGCACGAATCCCATGAGTCCCTGCTACACCTCAGAGACCACATCCCAGCCCTAGCTGGTGCCCCCTGGCTGGGGCCTGGCTGCCCCGCCCTGGGCAGGCTAGTCCTCCAGCGATGTGGTGGCAAGCAGGTCTGGTGCTGCTGCTGGGAGCTGCAGATGTGGGGAGTCTGCTGGAGAGGGTCCCCCCAGAGTGCCTGCCCACCCCCTTCTTTCCTTCCTTTGAGTTCAGCTGCCACCCCAGTCTGAGTGCAGCCTGGGACCTCTCACTATGAGTTGGGAGGAGGCCTGGGAGGTGTGGAGGACAGGAAGACACACAGCATTGAGTTGTTCATGCATTCAGTGGATGGGAAGCCACTGGTGGAGTGGCCCCAGGGACCGGGCACTGCCCCCAAGAACTTAGCTTCTGCTGTGGGAGACACAGAGTGTGGGCGGCTGGCAGAGTTGAGAGGGCATGGAGGTCTACAGTGCCAGGGAAGGAATGTTTAGCCCTTTAGACAGAATGATCTCAGGTCAACCAAGCCCCCAACATCTTGGAGGCATCCATCTTTGGAGGGTCTGGGCAGGTGCATGAAACAGCACAAGCAAAGGCCCTGAGGCAGGAGAAAGGAGGGGGTTGAGGGAGAAGTGAGGGTTTGGAGAGGGGGTTGCAGGAGAGAGGCCAGGTGGGTGGAATGGCCTTTGGTGTCAGGGGGCCTTGGATGGAGAACCACAACTCTGGCTCATGGCTCTGACCCCTGCCTGCTTCTCTCATCTGGAAGTTGGCATTTCCGTCCACTTGTGGATCGTGGTCTCTCCACTGGACTTCATGCTCCATCAGGGCAGGGACTGTGTGCTGCCCCCGCCCCCTCATTGTCCAGATTGCCAGGCCCATACTGAGCTGGGTCTGAAATCACCTTGGAAGGGAGGCTGAGGTCATCGTATGGTAGGGTTTTGACGGCTTCAGAGAGATGGCAGCTTGCGGCAGAGCAGCTATTTTATTTCGCGCCTGCAAGTCTTGCTGGAACCCCACTCACCAGGTCCCAAGGGACCTTCTGCGACTGATGCTGCGGGGTCTGGAAAGCAAACACCCTTCGAGAAGCACCCATGGGGAGGATGCCAAACCCGATCCCAGCTGAGTGTGGCTTCGGAACCCACGTTCGTTCCTAGGATTGCTGGGAGGCTCAGCTTTCCTGCCTTATGTCTGTGCACAGGTGGGCCTTCGGGCCACCTCTCGAGAGGCTGTCCCTGGGGGTTAGACCTATCAGAGTCCCTGTGCACCTGAGTCAAATGCTGGCGTGGCTTGCAGACAGAGCGCGTGCGGACACTCTGTGGGGATCGTCAGTAAGGAAGGACAAGCCCCTTTCTTCTACTCACTCGCTGTCCCTCTCCTGGACACTTGCTATGCCCTAGGTTACATGACTGCCTGGTCTCATGGTGCCGTTGTCAAATGTTCTGCTGCTAACCAACACGTTGATGCTTCAAAACCACCAGCCACTTTGAGGGAGGAAGAGGTCGGACGCATGCTTCCACAAACGGGAACAGCTTTGGAAGCCCGTGGTGCACGCCGACTCCAACCGATATGCTCACTATGAGTTGGAATCCACTCCATGGTGATGGGCTTGGTTGGTTTGGGTCTTATCCCTGACGCGTGTTCAACGGCGTCCAATACAATCCCTTTAAATCCTTTTAAGGTATTGCCACATTGCACTTCCTCCTTCCAGAGAGCCGCCCAGATCTTCAGCTCTCTTCTCGGCTTCCTTTCCCTTCTGAGAGTTGTTCTTTCCCAAGCTGTTGTGTGCCAGCCCATGCTGGGGGCGCCTTGGAAGCTTGGAGAAAAAGACCAGAAGGAGGCTGGTTTGCTGAGCAGTTAGCGAGGCTGCATGAGTGGCTGGAGGGTTTGTAGCTATCAGGGGCGCCAGTGGCGTCCTTTGGTTCTGGTCTGTAGAACTGGAATTCGTTTGTGGCCTTAGAGAGTTAAACATAGAAATAGAGATTTGCCGATCTTTAAAAAGCAGGAGATTTCACATACGTTTTTCTTTTGAGAAATTGGAAGAAGCCTTTGAGATCTCTCATGCAAGCAGTCTGCCGGTACCCATCACGTCCCGCTTCTCCTGGGTCCCCACCCCCATTTTATTAGTCCCCGGTGGTTTCACTTGACTACCCATCTGAAGGTTGACTGTTTGAATGGCCCTGCAAGGCTGCAGAAAGGCCTGGCGATCTGCTTCTGAACACCTTTGGGAGGCAGACCTGTTTTACAACCCTCGGGGCCATCCTGGCTCAGAATGGACTTGACAGTCATGGTTTTGGTTTTTATTGGCATGATCATTTGACCTTCAACCCACACAAGCTCATGGAAGTGCCTGCCTGGCTCCTGGGAGGGTCTGAGTCGAGGACCCGTGTTTTGGCAGATTGTCCCGGGTCCTAAAGTACATGGCCAGCCTGGAGCCCAATTCAGGCCTGCCCTGGCCAAAAAGCCCAAGGGTGTCCCTGACAAACAAGCTGCTATTCATAAGGGGGGTAGGAGGAGGCTGTATCATCCTTGGCTCGAAGGAAACACCTTAAAAGGGAGTTACTGTCAGTGCTTTAAAGATATGCTTTCATTCTCATTCATAACCCACTGTCAGTAAGTCATAAAGCCTGGGCTGTTTTTCTGTAGTCTGAAGGGCTGT